TAAGAACCCTTCATGGGCTACTGTTGGAAAAGAGGTATTGATTTGAGGTGAACCTTTAGGATGAACCTGTGTGGATGCTTTTGTGTGGGTGGTGGTATGTGAATAGTGTTAAAATAGTGCTCGAAGCACTGACAGATCACAGAATCACAGAATGGCAGGGGTTGGAAGGGACCTCTGGAGATCATCTGTCCAACCCCCCTGCCAAAGCAGGTTCACCTGGAGCAGGTCACACAGGACTGCATCCAGGCAGGTTTTAATATCTGCAGGGAAGGAGACTCCACAACCTCCCTGGGCAGCCTGTTCCAGTGCTCTGTCACCCTCAGAGTAAAGTTTTTTCCCATGTTCAGGTGGAACTCCCTGTGCTCCAGTTTGTGCCCGTTGCCCCTTGTCCTGTCGCTGGGCACCACTGAAAAGAGCCTGGCCCCATCCTCTTGACACCCGCCCTTTAGATATTTGTAAGTGTTGGTAAGGTCCCCACTCAGTCTTATCTCCTCCAGGCTAAAGAGCCCCAGGTCTCTCAGCCTTTCCTCGTAGGGGAGATGCTCCAGTCCCCTCATCATCTTCACAGCCCCCCTCTGGACTCTCTCCAGTAGTTCCCTGTGTCCCTTGAACTGAGGGGCCCAGAACTGGACACAGTACTCCAGCTGTGGCCTCACCAGGGTAATGAAAGTTGCTTTCATTGTGCATCATCAAAGTTTCCAAGTTGTTTTGGTTTTGTATAATTTCATTGTGTTTCAAATGTATATGTACTTGATTTAAACTCTTAACAGCTTTGATGGCTGTATTTCCATTCCAAAAGCCTGGACAAATAGCGGGTATCAAAGGTGTGCAGTGTCAGCTGTGTGACTTCAGGCAACACGCTGCCTCTGATGGGAGGAGAATCACTACACATAGGCGAGAGCTGCAGGCCTGGGGCAGTTTCTGTGTTTCTACTGTTGTGCTGCCAACTTAGTAATTTTTATTGCCTTTTATTTATTTTCTTTTGCTGTTTTCCACTTTCAAACTGGGGAAAAAATACTTCTTGCTTCTGATTTTTAAGTCACTTTTCAGTCCTTGATTGTTGAGGGTTAAAATACTGAAAGCGTCAGCCTCCCCACTTCGCAGTCTGAGAGTATCCTAAAAATTAACTTTTACTCACATTGATTCCTTCTGGTAATAAAAGTTTTCAGTACCCTAAGAAGCACTGGGAGTGGAAGAGAACATATAAATATTAGGAGGGACATATTAATAAAGCTTTCCTGTCCAAAATGACTGCTTTAATCCTTTTGTGGTTAGATATGTAAATTGCATGTATTGGATGAGGCAATCCAAGTCAGTGTGGATGCAGAACACAGATGTTCTTATGGAATTACTTATGAACATTGTGGTATTATTATGCTAATAATTGTATATTGCTTTTGACTATTGTAAAAGAACAATGAGACAGAACTATAAAACATAATTTCAAGCTTACTTGTTTTGTTGGTGGTTGTAAAGGTCTGAACAAGTATCTTTGTATGCCTGCTGTTACATGTCATAAACCAATCAGTGCTCCTATTTCTGTTATAAGTTTTGTTTAGTTTTAACATGGTGAGTGCTTGACAAAAATCTGTGTTGTTGCTGGACTGTTGTATTTGCAGTGCAGTGTATCAGCTCACTGCTACATAACAAGGACATAAATATTCCAGATATAAACGCTATGTGTGAACCAGGAGAGAAGCATAGCAGCAGTCTCCAAGTGTTTTGAAGCCCCTTGAAATCATCTTAAAACTTAAAAGCCCCTTTTTGTAAACAACTGTCTTGTTTTTTGAGGACTCTGCTGAGATGCAAGCTTGAAAGTTCTCATCTGTGTCATCACCTCAAAAATATTTATAGTAATGGCAGCAAAGTGATCTTATACATGCACTCATGTACACATATACTGTTACCAAAGTCCAAGTTCAGACACCTTTGCATGGACCGTCTTTTTTGTTTTGGTTTGTTTTTTCAGTCAGTTGCTTATTTCATTCAAGAAAGTAGCGGAAGCTTCTCTGGTGGAAGTATTAATGTGCTGTTAAAAAATGCATTGGGACAGACATGCAGCTACCGGTGTACTAACATTTATCTGGAAAACTTTATCACAAATGGACTGAACACCTTGCAGGATACATTTTAGTTCCTAGTTGTAGCTTGGCAGCTGATGACCTGCCAGTGTCTCTTTTTACTTCAGCAGTGCTGTGTTGGGTGTGGACAGGGATCATTCAATGGGAGAAGGGCTCTGTTACAGAGCATGAACGTGACCATGGGGCTCTATGGAAAGCAATGTGGGAAATATAGCTGCTTGCTGGATGATGTGTGGGGCTCATCAGCTTCCACCGTGTGGGTCCAAAAGTAGCAGAGGCTATAACGCAGCCAGGAATCTGAGGTAAGGCCGTGCCAGCAGGTTGGGTTCAGGCTCAGACTCCACATGGTGCTCAAATTGTATATGGGCATCAATGCTAGAGCAGAGAGAGAAGCATAATTCAGGGCAAAGTGATGAAAGTAGCAATGAGAAATGTGGATATTGGGATACAGTTTGTCTTTGCCAAAGGTGCTTGGGTCCCCAGGAGCATACACAGGGAGGCTACGATTTTGAAGCTGAGCACAAAATGAGTGCTGTGAATGCAGGACTGGGAGTGGGAAGTGCAGAGCTAAGGTGGTGAAAAATTAGGAGGCCTGAAGGTTGAGATCCTGATTTGATGGAAAGCAGGAGAATGAAAATTCATTTGGGGACATACAATTGGGTGCTGAGAACTTTGGCGATGTGGATAATTAGGAACGTGGATTTAAGGATCCGTAAGTATGACTTTACAAGAATTAGAAGCAAAGACCGTCAATTCATTTATGGGCCTAAAAGAAGGAATTTGAACAAGAGCTCACCTTTGAGGCAGAGTGCAACAATGAGATGTTTCATTTTGGGTCTGAGTTAGTCTGTGTGACAAGATGTCTTTTTGAACATTGCTTTGACTTGCAAGTCATGAGCACTTGGGCAATGCAGGTGTTTGTCGTAGGAACTTTTTGCATCAGTTAGCTCTGTCTGCCGATGCTCCACATTTATTCAATGAAAATGCAGATACTGGGACCACTCCAGTCTGTCTCTTTAGGGTCATATAACTGAGAAAAATCTGAGAACTTTCTGTAGGACCATACAACATGTGTGAGAGATGTTCTTTTTGGTTTCTTGTTTATGTTTTAAATTCTTAGGTCTCTGGTAGAAGTGTTACAAAGCTCATTATGATGAGAGTATAAAAGATGTACTGTGAGATGTTGACATTGAAGATCCTTATTCCTTTCTTCTCAAGCCTGAACTTTGATATTGTAAGTTTGGAACCCTGTGTACTGCTGACATTATTACTTTTGTACTTTTACCGGTACTAATACATTCTACGGTAGCTTGGGATTATGTTGCAAAAGAATGTTAGTTAACTAGCTTGACTTAGTCTTGTTCCAAAGGTAAAGTTTTGGTTGACTTCATCCAGAAAATAACTACCAAACAGTTTCACCAATGCTTTAACTGAGAAGTCTCAAACCTTACTCTGAACATCTAGCACGGTCTTTTTACTGAGTGGATTACTGAGTGAAAGCTTATCTTGGTGAAACATTTTTCTAAGCGTCACCTGCAATTTGCAAGGAGGTCATGAAATACAGCAGCAGAGATAGTGAGTAGAACATGGCAGTTTTTCAGCCCTGATCTAATTTAGGAATTTCAGCTGCTTTTAAGAACCTGCTAAAACTATTTTGTGTGATGGATCTTATGATAAGTGTCTTTAGAGTCTGTATTTTTCTCTTTATGAGCTTTTGATACTGTCTTAATTTTTTTCTTTAAAAGTGGGTTTTCTTTTAGGTTATAGTCATTGTAAGATGAGAAGAATGGGCAACCCTGCCATTTTTGTTAATCTTTTGGAAAATAAGTAGTCATGATTTGGCTATGTGTCCATTTTAGTTCATTTTCACAGCAATCAGGCGCATTGGCTTCAGTCCCTAATTTATGGACCTCTCCCTTCTCAGGTGACTAGCTTGGCAGTCCTTACATGCTGGCAAGACTTTTTAAATTCCAAATTCCTTATTATTAATAATTGTGTTGTAGTGTTATCCAGAGGACCTTTCCAAAAGATCAAAGATAAGGTAGAGTGTTAAACATCTAGTTACAGTGCCCCATAAAAGGGGGGATATCATAAAAGGACATTTAAAGGGCCAGGGAGAAAAATAGTGTTGATACTAAGTGTTTCTTACAGGGTAAGGTGAGTGAGGGTGCCATGGCAGAAGGAAGATAAAGTCCAGCAAAGTAAGGAGGTGTGAAGGGTGTAGGATAACAAGTTTCTCAAACATGATGAGATGGAGCTGGTAGAGGCATCTAGGAGAAACGTCGTATGTTCAAAATGACAGGACTGGAAAAAGATCTCATCAGGATGTGGATTGAAGTGACTTGATTAAAGTGATAGTGAAGAAAAGGGTGTTAACAAGTGCTGCTGAGAGAGAATGCATATTTTAGTGGCAATCAGAAAAAAAAAACAACTGAATTTGGGAGGTAAGGACGATGAAGTGGCAAATTTGGAGACAAGAAAGTATGTGGTCCAGGCCAGAGTGTAGTCCAAAATGACTCTATAGACAGACTGGAGTGAGTAGGAGAACGTGATGTGTCATTAGTATGAGAAAAAGTAATACTGTTTTTCTGGCCATGTCACATTTAATACGATTACAAATCAAGTCAGTGACAGAAGTTGCAATGTGGGTGTGACTCACAGATGTAAAGACTGTTGATTAAAACCAAGCAGGTTGGGTCAGGGCCTAAAGGTGGAGGCTACAGAACCCCCACAGGTTTTTGGAAAGCAGAAAAGGGTCCCTGCATAGTGAGAAGCACTAATAAAATACCAGAGGAGCATTAGCACAATACTGCGGCATCCCAGGAGATCAAAATCTCCAGGAAGATGAGATGGTGGTGTATAAATAGTGTCACAAGGAGCGTGGAGGATCCTGAGCTAGTCTAAATCTTGAAATTTGACTGGCTATTGGGGTCACTGAGGATTTTGGTGGGGTTTATTTTAAATGAAGATTTTAATTCTGTAGCTGCGAAAGCTTCTGGTGAACTCTAACACGCTTCCTTTTCCCTCTGACAAGTGCTTGAGGGGAAGGCTTACAAGAAGGATTACCCAGGATGAAGAGGATGAAAAATCCCCTTGAGAAGATTGTTTCACACCTAGACTTAATGAAACTGGGTTGGAACTCTTTCTTGTTTACTTCTTAGCATGAACCCCGATCCTTGTGGAAGACACCTTGCTGACCTTGCACCCACCCTGCTGAATCATTCCACCAATCTCCTTAAGGAGGAGTAGGGTTATTTCCTAGGGGAGGATGGTCTAGCTTGTTTCTCATTTATGTGTTTCTCATTTCTGAAGAGAAAAAGTAAAAGGCTTTTCTTTAAGAGGGTCTGTGTGCCGAGGAGAAACAGAGCTCGTATGTATAGAATAATGCATCCCTCAGCTGGAGGGATCTGTCATGTTTTCCTTCTGGTAGCAGCTATTTTTGCCTTTTAGCAGCTGTAACCATAAAATTACAGCTATAGACAGAAGGCCCAGAGCAAAGCACTCATCTCATGGTTCTGAGGGCACTTGGTCTTCAAATGTCAGTACCGAAGCTGAGGACTGTGGTATCAAAAGAAATAAATGGGGTTTTAATTTGAAAATTAATTGCAATGATTCTGAAGCGTTTCAAGAGCCCGTTAGCTCTTAAACGTTATGTTTACAGTTTTTAACTGCTGCTGTGGTTCAAATGCTTGTCTGGAACTTGTGGTTAATCTTTTGTCCACAAATCCGTGTCAACCAGGAAAAAAAAATTCAGTCGTCAAGCGCAGCTTTACCAGCACAACCCATTGTTTGGATGAAGCACTCCCGACAGGAGAGTGCTTTTGTTGACTTTGCTGATGTCGTTCAGAGAAGTTGTGTTGCCATGTCAGGGGAAAAAACTTTCACAGAATGTATAGTGCCTGTGTTAGTTACACTGATGCTGGTCTGTAGTCTGAATGCTGTCTGAGGTTTAGTTTAGTCCTGTCTTTATGCAGACCTTCCTCTCTCCCTCTAGGTGTGTTACTTTACCATGCCTATGCCGTACCTTTAAGTTGAAAAAAATAATGCTTCCTCATCCCTTTCATTTTATGTCTGATTAAATTGTTACCAGAGCTGTGTGTTCCATGTTTGGTGGGTAGATCTTCATAGTTACGTTATTGTTTCCTTTTCAAGACAGAGTTCAAAATCCACCTGCAACAGGGATTCAGCCAGGCTTATTTTTGATAGGAGCAATGCCTGCTAACAGATCGAGACTTGAGGCTGAGTCTTATGAAAGGCTCTATTTAAGCCTGAAATGATGAAACTTGATGTCTGTGGCCAGCTGTAGAAGTTATGTTGGTCCTTGGCTTGTAACTTCCTTTTAAAGTAACAGTAGATGATATAGTTGGTGAACACGGGAAGACAGTGGGTGGGATTCAGCTCACTTAAGATGGGATTTCTACAATGTAGACACTGACATCCAAGCTCCTTACTCATCTTTCAGTCAGTGAGGAGAATTAGGCCCTTTTAGGACACAACTCATCTTACCTATTCTAGATGTGTGCTTTAGGATGCTGATTTCCTTTTTCTCCCTAGTGATTATAAAGAGAGTCTAGATGTCTAGCTCAGATGTCGATGTCTACAACAGGTCAGGAGAGCTGTCCTGCATGCCCGTAACTCTAGCTGATCACTGTGTGATATGAAGGAGCATTCAGACAGGGCCCTGCGAGAGGGAAATTTAACAGAAAAAGACGTGTCTTTGGCCAAGCAGATGAGTATACATACTTGTGTTCTGCAGCTCAAAGGGCTTGTGGAGAAAGAGGCACTGAGTGGGGAGAGCATCTCAGGGTAGGGTGAGGAGACAGATTAGAAGCAGTTCAGCGCCTCTTCCACCTTCTTAACTAGAAGGAAATGTCCTGCTGTCTATGGGAATAAAGGCGGCAAGTTCTTGAAACCAAGCTTTATCTGATGGAAGTAGTTAGAACATGTCTTAGTTAATTCCTGTCTTTCTAGTAGGTGGAAAACAACCTCGTATAATAAATATTATTCTTCTCAAGTAAATCTGTTAAGGTAATGAACTGTTTTTTTTTTTTTTTTTTTTCCCCAAGCCTTCGTGAGCTTGCCCTAACCTGATGGGGGCGTTGGCTTTCCCATATGTGCTACCATGTGGGTGGAACAGCAGTGCTCACCTTTTAACAGAAGAAATGCTTCGTTTTGCATGCTCCATATCCTGCCAGCTCAGAGATGCAAGGCTGGCAATGAACTCGAGAACCTGGGCAGGTTGAGGCTGGATAGGCTGAGTGTTCAGTGAGTTTTGTGGGAGGGAGTGGCAGCTGCATTGCCTGCGTGTTTGGTCCCAGGTTTTTTTGCAAGTGGCTTCAGCAGTAGTAACCACTGCTGCACCCCCGTTCTGCCAATTGTGACTCTGCCCAAAAATCCAGCACTAAGAGAATATCAAGGGAGGTGTAAGATTTAGCCAAAACTCCTGTATTTAAAAGGGCTGGTATAGTACTTGGATTTCATATAAACTCTTTTAGTCATGTGCTATTAAAAGTGTCACATTTGCTCCGAGTTCTCGGATTCTCATTTTCTGAGTAAAAAGTATAGTGGTTAACATAAACAGCTCGGTTTAATTTTGGTACGTGAATTATTTTAAATAATAAGTATCAGGCAAACTAGTATGGACAAATAATACATATTGTGTGAAGAAATGTATTAATTTATACATTTAAAAATAAGATACTGTCAAAGTGTGTTTGGATTACGAAGTACAGCAATCTTAGAGATGTGAATGAGTGTTTATACTGAACCATAGGAAGGCTTGCATAATAGCTGGGCATTTCTGGCAAACAATTGTGTTTCTGTTTGCAAGCTAACTGCTATTCCTAGCCTTACTTTTTATTCCCACTTCAATTTTTTAATTATGTACAGAAAGCATTTTTTTTTAAAAAAAAAAAAAAAAGGTTTGTATTGAAACCAAACATTCACAAATCTTTCTTCCTGTCCTACTTTTGCTACTTAGGAAGGAGTAGTATCTCCTACTGATTTAGACCTTGTGATGTCTGATGGATTGGGAATGCGATACGCATTTATTGGACCTCTGGAAACCATGCATCTTAATGCAGAAGGTAGGTAAACTGATATGAATATGTTGGCAACATGGACAGTGGGATAGAGTGCACCCTCAGCGATTTGTCAATGACACCAAGCTGTGTGGTGTGGTCAACACACTGGAGGGAAGGGAGGCCATCCAGAGGGACCTGCACAGGCTGGAGAGGTGGGCCCATGTAAACCTCATGAAGTTCCACAAGGCCAAGTGCAAGGTCCTGCACCTGGGTCGGGGCAATCCCAAGCACAGATACAGGCTGGGTGATGGATGGCTCGAGAGCAGCCCTGTGGAGAAGGACTTGGGGGTGCTGGTGGATGAAAAACTGAGTATGAGCCAGCAATGTGCACTTGCAGCCCAGAAAGCCAATTGCATCCTGGGCTGCATCAAGAGAAGTGTGGCCAACAGGTCGAGGGAGGTCATTCTGGCTATTATCTCTAAGCATGTGGAGGAAAAGATTATCAGGTGTAGTCAGCATGGATTCATCAAGGGGAAATCATGCCTGACCAACCTAATAGCCTTCTATGATGGCATGGCTGACTGGGTGGATGAGGTGAAAGCAGTGAATGTTGACTACCTTGACTTCAGCAACGCTTTTTACACTGTCTCCCATCACATCCTCACAGGTAAGCTTAGGAAGTGTGGGATAGATGAGTGGACAGTGAGGTGGGTTGAGAACTGACTGAAGGGCAGAGCTCAGAGAGTTGTGATCAGTGGCGCGGAGTCCGGCTGGAGGCCTGTAGTTGGTGGTGTTCCCCAGGGGTCAGTACTGGGTCCAGTCTTATTCAACATATTCATCAACGACCTGGTTGAAGGGACAGAGTGCGCCCTCAGCAGGTTTGCCAACGATACAAAACTGGGAGGAGTGGCTGACATGGCAGAAGGCTGTGCTGCCATTCAGTGACACTTGGACAGGCTGGAGAGTTGGGCAGGGAGGAAGCCAATGAGGTTCAATAAGGGCAAGTGTAGGGTCCTGCACCTGGGGAGCAGTAACCCCATGCACCAGTACAGGCTGGGGGTCGACCTGCTGGAGAGCAGCTCTGTGGAGAAAGACCTGTAAGTTCTAGTAGACAAGAAGTTGACCATGAGCCAGCAATGTGCCCTTGTGGCCAAGAAGGCAAATGGTGTCCTGGGGTGCATTAAGAAGAGTGTCACCAGCAGGTCGAGGGAGGTTTTTTTTCCTCTACTCTGCCCTGGTGAGGCCACATCTGGAGTACTGTGTCCAGTTCTGGGCCCCCCAGTTCAAGAAGGACAGGGAGTTACTGGAGAGAGTCCAGTAGAGGGCTGTGAAGATGATGAGGGGACTGGAGCATCTCTCCTATAAGGCTGAGAGACCTGGGGCTCTAGCATGAAGAAGACTGAGAGGAACCTTATCAACACTTATAAATATCTAAA